AACCTTCATGATTCGATGATTCTGTGATTCTACAGTGGGGTTTCCTGTTTCCTCCCCATCTCAGGTGCAGAGGAAGGACCCTCCTCCCGCATCCGTATCTAGTCACGGTTCTGTTTCTAAACAATTTGAAAATTTTCCATGTCCATGAGTTGTGGTTTTTTGAACTCAAAGATGCATGAGAAGATCTAGAAGTAGGCATGTAGTTTCTTCTGAGTAGTTGGTATTGGAGTAACTGTATTGAAGCAGGAGGTAGAAGGTACTTCCTCCTGGCATTTGCTAGGAACAAGATTACTAGTCAAAATTCTGTAATGAAAAATCTTGTTAGCTGTTTTTATTGAAATTTGGAAAAAGTGCAGGCTCCATGGTTCAGATATTCTTTTTGTGGTGTTGCATGGGCATGCAGCATGTGTCCATGCTTTGGAGATCAGGGGACTTAATAATAGCTTTGTAGCAGAAACAGAATTCTGATGACATTATCATATAAAATATTAATTTTAATATTGAACTTAATGCTCTGCTATGAGAACTATGTAAACTTGGCTTTGGAGCCCCAGTATGCACTTCCTGGAATTCTGTGCATAGCGTGGTTATAAATAAGCGGCAGGTTCTTTGGGAATCACTGGGGCTGATATCTGGTATCATAAACAGTATCAGGGAGAAATCGTTTTCCCTGACAGACGGTTCATTTTTGAAGGATGCAATATGCTTTATTTTGAGAATTCATTCTTACTAATGAATAAGGTCAAGTGATAAATTTTTATTGGAGGGAAACATGTTTACGATTCATGCGGTTGTATCTTCATGGTTGGGATCTTCGGTTCCCCTCCCTTCCCCGTCAGATGTGCATGTGAGGTTTACCTTAAAAAAGAAAAAGTAATGTCAAAAAGTCGTCACGTGAATATTTCAGTGACATGGTGAACAATTTCACACTGCTTTTTAATGCGTGTGGAGAGTAATTCGTGGAAAGCGTAGATTATTACTTTGTGCTTTGAATGATGCCCAGGTTGTCAGAAGAGGCAGAATTTTGTCAGTAATTAACATCAACACCGGACTAAGGAGCCATTGTGGCCTGTCATGGAAAATGCTGAAGTAGATAAATTATAACGACAGATAACCGGCAACAGTAATTGCTAAAATAATGGTACTCAACCATCTTTATATATGCTTCATTTTGACTGGATTGCTGTTGGTCAGTTTTTGCGTTTCTGATATAAAGATGACCTTGTTCTGCCTTTCTTCTTCTCTTCGACAGACTAGAGACGACTTCCTGGGTCAAGTGGATGTGCCACTTAGTCACCTGCCGGTAAGCAGTGCTTTTGTCTCAGTGTGCTCTTTTTGTCATCACCAGATGTGAAAACCCTGATGTTACAGTGAATTTATTTCCATAAGTAGGCCAGTTAAATTTTCTTAAGCAAGCATTCCCAACATAGCGTTAGAGGCTTAAAGAAAAATTCTATGGACAAGAAAGCACCACCGTGCCCAGGAATTGGGAGAAGTGTTCCCTTTGCAGGAACAAGGAAGACAGTTGTTCTCTGGTATCTGTTAAATTTTTCACCATCCAGGATTCGCTTCTCATCCTGATTCTTTCTGGAAGTCCTTTTCTGGTCTGAGTCCATTGTCAGATGACGTGTGGCCAACAGACTGGTTGTTTCTCAATTTACCCTTGGTGGGTTTTATCCTGGTAATCTTCCGTCTTCTTCCTTTTCATGATTTTCCCTTACAGTCGAAACAGTTGTATTCTCCCCTAGTTGTATTCTCACAGTTGTATTCTCCATTGCCTCCAGACCTTTTGTTAAAACGTTGAAAAAACTCCAGATTTTTGGGGTGCTATTCATCTGCCTGATTTTCTGTCTAAATAATACCCTGTTAAGGTTACGAGATAGCAGTTCTGTCTGGGAGGGTAGATAGTATGTTTTGATATTACTGCAAACCTTGGAAAGCCAATAGCCACAGATGGAAACCAGAGGAACTGCTCAACCAGCATGACAGGATCTTAACACAGCAAGCAAAATTCCAGCCGAAATTAAGTGGAATTTCTATTTCCTGTATAACCAAGGGTGGGGTTCTCCTCCTTTAATTCTGTGAGCATAGAATTGACATAGCACTGACTGTCTGTCAATTATAATGTGAAATTCCAGCTTCAGCCTTTACAGATTGTGCATGAACCTGCCCACAGAAAGGTGCGCAATGTTCAGAGCCTAGTGAACGCTGTCTAAATGTCATTGTAGTGCAGCAAAGACAGAGGCAGAATGGTTACTGACTCCAGTGCGCTGAAGCTTTCGCTGCCAGACTTTGTCACTAGGGAGATGCTACATAGATGCTGGGTAGATGTCGGTTGTGCTGCCATCCCACACAGCAAAAGCCTCAGTCAAAGCCATTTTCAAAGACGAGGAAAAAGGAATTATTGATTTCATGGGTAGATGTGCTTCAATTTCAGTTTTTCAGGATACGGTCTTTCTTTTCTTTCACTTGGTAGACACAAGTGGCAAATGAACTTTGCAGAAAATGTTTGTACCAGAAAAGCATTTCTTTTGTCTTTTTGTATTAATGTTCTACTTTACCCTGTGCTTCAAAGCTGAGTTCAATCACTGATGAAAGAACTGAATTTAGGAGGTAACTGGATGCAGTTAATATTTTTCAAACATTGCGCATGTTCATCTTACTAACTTCATGAACTTGGAGGGGGGGTTTGTATTGGCAACGGTGGAAGTTCTTGAGGACGTTTACATCAAAATAAGGTGGCAAGTTTAGCACGTCTGCTGCACCTGCGATGTGAGTGTTCTTTATGTGTGTCTGTACTTGTGGGCAACCCCTTTAGTTTGCCATTTTCTTAAATGCTTACAGACTGAAGACCCGACCATGGAAAGGCCGTACACATTTAAGGATTTCCTTCTCAGACCAAGAAGGTGAGGGGGAGGACCTTTGTATTTGAAAACATTTCTTACTTCAAGGTTTGTTATTTGCAACTGTTTAAGGATTGTTGAATGGAATGTACCTCCTTGTCTTCTAGCCACAAATCTCGCGTAAAGGGTTTCTTGAGACTGAAGATGGCTTACATGCCTAAAAATGGTGGCCAAGAGGAGGAAAACAGTGATCAAAGGGATGACTCTGAGGTAAGGCTTAACGATGCTTTCAGTCATAGAGTGTGATGGGATTTTAAGGTTTTTGGCATTGCAATGAGGTGCACACTGTAACCACTGAGTTTTTCTCTTTCTGTGTGGTTTACATTTAAGTAACTTTGAACTTCCCTGGAAAATTTTCAGAATCTGCACCTATACGCTAACGGAAGCAACAATGAAATAACTTCTCTTTAACTTACACTTAAAAATTATTTTTTTTTTCTTGATTTATAAGCATGGATGGGATGTGGTTGATTCCAGTGACTCCGCATCTCAACGTCAGGAGGAGTTACCACCTCCTCCACTGCCTCCTGGATGGGAAGAAAAAGTGGACAACCTGGGGCGGACTTACTATGTCAACCACAACAACAGGACGACTCAGTGGCATCGACCAAGTTTAATGTAAGTGGCAGCGTAGTGCAAGGTTTTGTGGATGTGTGCAAAATCATCAATAAGGGTAGTGACTTTTTTCCAGCAAACATAACCATTTTGAATTTATTTATTACAACAGTAATGGTTATTCGTTCTTGAATATTCGTAGTCATAGCTAAATTATGCAAATATGTGTTGTCCTTCTTTAAGGCACCATTTGTTCTTCTTGTCTGATGCATTTGTCTCTGATTGATCTGCATTTATCTGATTAGTCCCTATCCTGAAGGAGAGGCTCAAGTACAATACTACCTTCTAACAACATCTGCCCCTTGTGTACTGTCATGCAAATTTCTGTCTGGCTCTGCACGTTGAGAAGTCCCACAAGCCAGGCAGGTCTCTATCCAGGGAAGTGGGGTGTTTTCCATTTCCACCACTGCTGGTGGGAGCCAAACTACTGGTTCCAGGCAGTTCAAAAAGTCATCCGTGCCACAGCAGCTTGCAAAAAGGAACATAATTGTTGACATGAAGACAGGGGCAGTGGTAAAATCTCTGTGTCAGGAGTTCTGTTGGTCATCCCAGGAGAGGATGAGTAATGATGGGTTAGCATATTTGAGTGCGGACTTCCATTTCTGCTCAGCCAACTTTGATGTATAGAGAACATTAATTTCCAGTGTTACTTGACATTTGTGAAGTACTTCCTGTTTTATTTACTTTGGATTGAGGGATGAAACAGTCTCCTGTTTATGAAGCCTGACATATGCAAGAGTAAGGGTTTTTATAATCAAAAGCATTAAGGAGGTTTTGAAAGCAATGGACGAAGTGCATGGTTTAGTTTAACATTCATGATTTTCTTGTTCTTTTCTCCATCCCATGCTTTCATTTCCCCACTGCCCAGTGATGTGGGATCTGATTCCGATAACAATATCAGACAGATAAACCAAGAAGCAGCCCATAGGCGGTTCCGCTCTCGGAGACACATTAGTGAGGATTTGGAACCAGAGCCTATGGAAAGTGGAGACATTCCTGAGGTACGTAAAGGTCTTGGGTTTAAGAAGTTGGCTGAACTTGAAGCTGATGTGTTTCTTGTTTGTAAGCTAATTACTATACAACATTACTGTAGTAATGCTTTTATGTGGTGTTTATGGAAATGGCCTATGTAAAATACAGTGACACAATAAAAATCCTAAACAGACCTATACTCTTCTTAATCAGGGTGAGTGTTTGTTTAATATAGAGCTAGACTAAATAAATTAAATTTGGTGGATATTTGTAGGCCTAAATGAGGGTTTGTGCAAAGCTCTAATCCTGTTCAATTTTAAGGAATATTTTATTATGTGAATCACAGACTGAATTCTTAGTGAAAGCTCATTTTGGTTCACTAAATGTTATTCAGAGCAACAAATAGATTGCTGAAACTATTTTTGCACTCGTCACCTGTTAACATTTGATTTGCAGATACTAATGAGTAGTTTCTATTATGCATTTTCTTCTAAATTAAAATTGACAGTTGTTTCTTACAAGTTTTTAGCAAGAGTGCAGAATTAGTTACATTTTTAACACAATTTCAAACAGAATTTATTTAACGTACATTCTTTTTTATGCATATTTTCATTGCATCATTTTCTGTGTTGAATCATAAAGCATTGTATCGTCAGCGTGAAGACCGTTTTGAGGTCAACATGAAAACCATTTTTCCCTGTGACTACCTCATGCTGTGTAGAATGTTAATTTGTGTGTTCTAGGGATTGGTTTATTGCCTTAAATATTAAGGCCGATAATCGCACCTGTGTTTGCCACAATGAGGTGGTCACGTAGAAGGCAAAGGGGAGGAAGACTTGGTCTGTCTTTAGAAATCCTTAACGGAGTTTCTTCTCTTTTGTTAGCCCTGGGAAACCATTTCAGAGGAGGCAAGTGCAAGTGGAGATTCCTTAAGCTTGTCATTGCCACCTCCTCCTGCATCTCCAGTATCCCGTACCAGTCCTCAGGAGCTTTCCGAGGAACTGAGCAGAAGACTTCAGGTCACTCCTGACTCCAATGGGGAACAACTCAGTTCTTTGATTGTACGTGGCGTGCTGCTCTTTCTGTATAAAGCTCTGTTACCGGAATCTTCTGTTAGTTTGACCTAATCTGAGTCATTGACGTGGATGGGTAGTAGTTGCTCATCTTGGGAAAACCTGAGCATACAGTTCAAATTCTCTTCCCAAAAAATGCATCATCATTTCACCATGGAGCAAACTGCCTTGAACAGCAGAATTCCTCAGTTTAGTTTTAATGTTTTCTTCTGTATGAGTTGAACTTCTGACTCTGCTACTGTTCTACCTTTAGTGAAATGAGATATGTGATACTAGAGAGTATCCAGATAAGAATTTCCAAAGGCAAGAGGAAAAACTACTAATGCTCTTTCAATCATCATCCATTTTACTACATGATCATTTTTCTTCAGTATTTTAACTGCACATGTTTATATTAAAGCATTTGCTTTCTTATATTAGGATTTTATAAACTCCTTATAGTTTACTGGATCAACTGTATAAGACTAACAAAGGATTAGAATGAAAGTGGGTAGTTCTGGTGAAATCCTCCACAAGTTTGTATATGGCTAGTCTGGAAAAAAATTGTCTCTCACCTCAAGAGTTTACTTGAGGTAAAACTAAAAAAATGTTCTCTTTGCGTTATCCATTAGTCAGACTGATGATAGCACAAAAAATAATACACATGCAAGTGGGGGAATGTCTTATGTCTCTTTGATTAGGAAGACAATTCTAAGTATTAAATAGAACATCATGCTGTGATTTATTCTTTTTTTTTTTTTCTTGGTATATGCCATCAAGGTACCTCTGAAATTCAAAAGCTAGGAAATATTTGCTCCTGTTCTGATTAAATCTTGATTAGGTGCAAGTTTTTCACAAAGAGGCTATGCAATAGGTGTCTTATAATGATTTGCATGTTATCTAGAGGTTAGTAAATTATAGCTCTGATGGCTAACCATCTGCGTAAAGAACCCCTTGTGCTTTTGTAGATAACTGCAGATTTTAGTAGAGCTTCACTTGGAGGGCAGGAGGTTAATCAAATAGTTTCAGTGACAAGATCAGGCCCTACATTTTTTTTATACTAAAAATAGTAAATAAATGGTATAGCAGCAAAGTTATGATCTTAATTACAATAATTCAGTAATTATATTCCTATCAAACCAGCTCTTTTATGAGCCACTAAGTGATAACATCCAGCCCTTCGGTCGGAGCTGGTCCGTGTGGATGAACGGCACTTACCCTGGGCTCATAAATCCTCCCCATCTGGAGGTCGGTGAGCCCAGCACAGAGACATCCACCAGCTTCGTTTGGGTTGAGCCAGGTAGGCAGGGAAAGGTTGGGCGCTTCCAGCTGAACACAAGCTGTAATCCCTGGGCTCGTGTACGTCCGTGTGACGTTTCCTCTTGATCCAGATTCCCGAAGGCCCACGAGATGAGTTTCATGACTTTGCACGGAGGACGCCTGGATCCAGGGGTTTTCCCAAACCCACCAGCTCTCAACGGGCTTTCCAGAAAGCTGTCTGGGATCTGCAGGTCGCTGGCTGAAACTCGTTGGGTTTCCCCATCAGGGTGCCTACACCAGTGTATCCAGCCTGAGCTTTGGCTGTTTGACGCAGAGACAGGTTCCATGTCTCCACACCCATACCGAGCTGATCTCCAGCACAGCCAAAGTGCCAGCGGATAGCTGAGGAGTGGTTGTATGTGTGTCCAAGTGTTCTGTCCCTCTCCTCGTGTATCTGTGTAACACCAGAAAACACTTGGGACTCGCTGGGCAGTACATTTGTCAGACAAATCCTTTCACGTTAATCTTTAGCATAACATGGAAGCAATGTGTAATTACGTCTTTTTTTGTGTGTATTTTTTTAACCACTGATCTTCTAACAGAATGTGCTCTTAGGACTGATGTTTTCAAGTAAGAGTTGGGGTTTCTGGGATGCCTCTCAAACAGTTTGCTTCGTGGTGTTGCCTCATTGTCTTTCAGTGGTACACAGGGGTGCCCATGTGGTTATAAACAGCCTGGGCCATTTGCTTCTTCATTAGTGCTTTCACACTCGTCCCATTAATACCTAGCCTGTTGATTTTACAAGGATTCCATTGCCACTATTCAGACAGAGGTTTTTACATTTTTCTTACACCACTTATGCTCCCTCCAGGTTCTCTAAAGCGTCTCCCAAAGATACTTGAAAATAGTTTTTTAAAAGTTCCATGGCATGTTCATGTCCCATTATGTCTTTAGTTAATCTTCCCCTTCCCTGCTGACTCCACAGCTGTTCATTTTCCTGTGTGTTTTCCCAAATGAGACAGCCTGTCCTCCTCTTTGAGATCAGGTCAGTAAAACATGGTAACTTGGATGCTGAAGATGAGTACAAGACATGTATCCAAGTACTTTCTTTTCTCAGTTCATCTGAAACAGTACAGGGTGGAATGCTGAGAATTTAGTTTTTTCATTCCTTGCCACGTTTCTGTAGAAATACTCAAACTAGACACTGCAATGTAAATATTATTTTTAAGGGTTTAGATTAAACGGGGGAAAAGTTAAATTACTGAATCTACCCCCATGTTTTATGACGCCTTAACTTAGAGATATCTTTCTTTCTTTTCTTCCAGCAAAGAGATCCTTCTTCAAGATTAAGATCTTGCAGTGTAACAGACACGGTTGCTGAACAGTCTCAGTTAACCTTGGTAAACCAAAGCTATTTCTTTCTTTCTTTTTGTTTGAATGTGCTCTGATTCCGAATGATATATTTTCTGGGGTCAGTTCTAGTCAGATACAGATCAGTAACCAGTATGGGCATATGACTGTCCCAAATAGTAATGGATTCCAAGTTCATACCGTTGTGGTTAGCAACTAAAATGAGGACATTAATGAAAGAGAAAACCATTTTGAGCCTGAGGGCATAGTCACACTCACTGTAGTTATCTAACAGAGAAACTGAGTTTACTGAACTCTAGGTTATAGTCAGCAGAGAGGGAGAATCCTCCAAGGGGTGTTTCCAGCTGGCGCAGGAGAGGGCAGTAGCTCCAGCTACACTTGGAACTGGAGCAGCCACAGGATTCTCCTGTCAGGTACATTTTTGTGTCCTAGAAATATATTCTACTGGGAATATATAAATCTGTATAACATTTTAAAAGATTGTTGTTTTACCTCATTGTAGTTAAAAGGAGCCTTTTTGTGATAGCCCTTGTACAATACAAACAAATCGAATTGCATCCGTTGTAGTTTTTTAACCTGAGTGATGTAAGTAAGCAGCTGCTTCTGCAATTTTATTTAAGTCAGTTCTTCAACCAGGAAAAAGATGCAAAGGTGTTTTTTAAAAAAATAACTCTCTTTCACATCATAACCATGCACATCTTTGGTCTAATTGATAGGAAGTTGTACGTATTTTGTCCTACAACCCAAGTATGAGGATTGCAAAGGTGGTTGGCTGTAGAGAGCCTGCCTCAAATGGGATTGTGCAAGATATGCTTTTGAATAAAACGGATCAGATTTTCAAAACAATTTAATATTTTTTAAAATTAGTTCTTTATTCAGGGATTTTTTTTTCCTAAATTTTAATTAGAGATATATTGCATGTGAACCTACGAATAGCAAATTTGTGTATCCATTTTGTATCCATTTTGTTTTTAAATACCATGTTTATGGGCAGAACATGCAAAATTTGTTTGGGGGGGAGGAAAAAAATATGGCTTAGTGAGTTAGGTGGTGTTGGGTTGGACTTGATGATCCTTGAGGTCTTTTCCAACCTTAATGATTCTATGATTCTATGATCATGTTACATTTAGAGTAAATATTATTATTGACAATACTGAACATATAGAATTGGACAAGAACTCTTGAAATCCCTTCCCTTAGTGGCTTTTATGTGACATTCTGACTTGGTTATCAGTGATTGATGACTCAATTTTTTTTGGCTATTATCTTAAACGTTATTTACATCTAATTGCTCTCTTTTAATAAATTTGCGTGTCTGCGATTCCTTACTCCTTAAAGAAGTGACAGTAGTCTGTGACCTTCATCCCTAAACATACTTATCTGTAACATTAATTATCATTTAACAGCAGAGCGGTCCATCTAGGAGAGCTCGTTCTTCAACTGTCACAGGTGGTGAGGAGCCAATGGTAATAATCCTTTTTATCAAGCACTCTCTCTAAATAAAATACGGATAGATCTAGGACTTGTGCAACAAGAAACCCTAAAAACGAAAGATACAATACCTGATTCTTAAAAAGCTGATATTGAAAGAATCAGGGATTAGAGACATCAAATCAGCATACATGTAGCTGTGTTTCTAGCTGCTTCTGTCTTCCCTTTACTCTCCGTTAGACTAATTCATTTTCATTCTTAACGCTGATCTTAATTTGAGAACCGTGGAGGTACAGTGATATATCACGTAACTCTTATTGGTCTTATATAACGCCAGTTTTCATTTTCCAGTAGTTGTTCAGCAGCCCAAGGCTGAATTTTTTTCTTTGATCATCCAATAAAATTCAGAAAGTGTAATACAAGGAAAGTGGTTTTAATTTCTATTGGACTTTGTCAAAAACTTCCCGTTCTTTTTTAACCTGCTTAAATGTCAGTCTGAAGCACGTTATTGCATAGAAATAATTTTACAGTAACTATTAGAAATACCTTTTATGAGTATATGCGCTCCTAGGGAAAGAAAGATAATTTAAATTTGGTATGTTTCATATTTGTATTTACTGTATTTACTGTTTTTTTAATTTTTGAATCAGAGGAGCATACTTGTATTTTGTTCCTGCAAACAGCAGATTTTTTGCGTGCTTGCAAAAGCTGCTCGACTTGTTGATCGTTAGCACTACGTTGAACTGGAATGTAAAGAAGATCTTTTGTTGGCAGAGCATCTTAATACAGCTATATCGTAGATGTGTTACGTATTGCAGCTCACTGATGGGACCCTACCCCACGCTTTGCCTTCATTCAGCATGTCTTTGTACTCGGAAACCCAAATCTGCAGTAGACTTAGGACTTCAACAGGAGTCGTGCAAAAGTGTTCTCTTCAAAGTTTGCCCTTCTCTTTGTGCTTTAGGCATCTATAAAGTTTGTAATCATACCCTCTGTCAATAGCAGAAGTTTCAAGGTCACTTCAGGTTTGCTTTCAGAATCCCTACAAATCCCCTCAGGGGACTGGGACCCACAATTAGCTGTTCATCAGCCTGAGTCCCGGATTCTGCAGGCGAGCTGGGAGCACGCCTCGCACGGAGGCACGGGGTGGACCCCGCAGAAACGCGGCGCTGGGGCATCTTCAGGAGGGGTGATGCCCCTTCTCACGACTGGCTTAGTTGAGTTACTAAAGAGCAACAAGCACCGAGTTCTGTGCCCTCCTGCGTGCGAGGGGATTTAAATCCACGCGGTATTCCTGCCTTGGAGAGCTTGACTCCACTGCACAGTTAACTTCAGTTCTTACTTATCCATGGTAATAAAAAGAAAAACATCCACCTTTTTGAGGGAAGATCATTAAAACACAAAGTTCCTTTTCGTCATGTGGAATCCACAAATTAAGAAGCCGGAGGGCATGTAAGCTTAGTTGCTTTCTGAACAAGATACCTGATCCGTGCAAAGTGAATTGAAGGTTCCATTGTGAGAAAAAAAAAGATTTGACCCAAAGGTACATGAAGAAGAGCTTATATTAAATGAAATCAGAAAACATATCTTTCTAGATGTTTGCTCTATTTAAGACTGTTTTAATTTATTTTTTAAACAGACTTATGAAATATTTTTGAACTATTATAAAATAACAATACAGTAATTTCTTGCTTGAGCAGCCTTCAGTGGCCTATGTACATACGACGCCAGGCTTACCTTCAGGCTGGGAAGAAAGGAAGGATGCAAAGGGCCGAACGTATTATGTCAATCATAACAACCGAACCACAACGTGGACACGGCCCATTATGCAGGTACGAAGCCCTGGTATAATGCTTAATTTCAGTAGCAAACACTTGGCGTGTGTTGAGCATAATGTCGGTTGAAGCAGCTCTTCAGAACTCTGAAACTGAAAAAAAAAATCCTAAGCTTTGTCAGGAGAACTTAGAGTATTTATAAAAAATTGCAATTATTGTGATTTTTTTGTTAGTTCTTTGAGCTGTATTAAGGTAGGTAATTAAGTTGGTTGTTACAGTGGAAGGAATTTACAGGGGGGTAAAGAATTACACAATTTTTGAAGTGTCCTAACTCTGGATGAACTGTGTTGCTGACAACTTGATAACTTGCTTTTGCTTCTGCCGTAGCTTGCGGAAGATGGCATGGTTGGGTCAGCAGCAAACAGCAGCAACCACTTAAGTGAACCCCAGATACGCCGGCCTCGGAGCCTCAGTTCACCCACAGTAACTTTATCCGCTCCACTCGAGGTGAGAAGCACTGTTACTCTCCAAGATGACTTTAAATTAAAATATTTTGAATATCTTAAACTAAAACATTAAGGGTGCTCTTCTGCCTGACGACGTTTTGAACAGTTGAGCTTGTGGAAATCGCTGACTAAGCATCTGAAACTTGAATTTCTCAGGGTGATAAGCGAGGTTTTAAGGGCAGTAACCCATTCCATAGCTACAAAACCCATATTCTCGTCACTTCCGAATCTTCAGCTAATCAGCTGGTGGTTAGTTTGTTCAATTCTCAGAAACCACAAGGGTGCTGAAGAGCACAAACTTACACCCGTCTCTGAATTATTTTTTTTTTAAGGTAAGGAGTAGATTTACTGATACTAAAATCTTCAAGCGTAAAACTACAAGAAAAAAAATTAGTTCAACTTTTCAGAAGTTCCTTCCTTTGTTCAGTTATTTTATTGTAAAATGTTCAACTTTTTTGCATACAAGACATATGGAAAGCTTTTATTTAATGCAAGCTATTTTTAAATGCTGCTTTTGAACACTGTAATCACAGGATACTCTCTTGTTGTCAAGTGAAATATATTGCACCGTGAAGTGCAAAGCAAAGCTTTTCTTTTTTTTCCTTCAATAAAATGAACTATTGACACGTACAGGGCAGCTGCACTAAAAGATATCTAATCAAATGTAAATACTGCGGACATTGTCATTGCAGAGGGAAGTGATAAAACGCTGCGTCCTTCACAGCAAAAAACTTGGTATAAGAAGCTGACTTTAGCTGAGCTCTAGGAGATCAGTCCCAGCACTTAATTCTAGTATTAATTACACCTGGAATGAAAAACTTAGTTGCTGTGATACCAAATTTTATTGACAAATCTTAATATCTTTCATTTTCTTCAGGGCATGAAGGACTCCCCGGTGCGCAGAGCAGTGAAGGACACCCTTTCCAACCCCCAGTCCCCGCAGCCCTCGCCTTACAACTCCCCTAAACCACAACACAAAGTTGCACAAAGCTTCCTTCCTCCTGGCTGGGAGATGCGAATAGCACCCAATGGCAGGCCCTTCTTCATCGATCATAATACTAAAACGACTACGTGGGTAAGAGACATTCTAGATCAGTTGCCATCTTCTAAATGTTTCTGGTTTTGTTTCCCTGCCTTTATGCCCCCCATTTTATTGTGATACTTGTCTTGGCTCTAAGGGGGGGATCTGTCAGCCTGACTTCTCTTAACACTGATGTCAGCATCTCACTGAGTCCTCTCTGCCATCACGTACAGCAGCAAAACCCTTCGAGGAGCTTTTCATTACGTGGCTGTAGTCTTGCCATTGCTGCACTCAGAGAGTGGAACTTATTTGTTCATTTCCTCTTACATTTTGGTGCTTTTGCACACTTTATACCATGCAGTAGCATTTTGCATTTTGTATTTAAGATTTTTAGACTTGACAAATCATCGCATATGAGTACTGTCCTTTAAATTGCCCAAACTGGGGTTTTAGTTTGGGTTTCAGTTTGAGACTGTCCGTAACTGTATTGTATTTCACTGTGACTTGCTCTTTTTATTAATATCATGTACGCTCGTCATCTTCAGTTAACAGAATTTGTTTTATTGTGTGTTTTATGTCATGAGGGTCTGTTTTTCAATAATTCTGCAACTTTTGTCAAGAAATTGAAGAAATAAAATGATACTAGGAAAAAATATCAAAGACGACCCAGCATTTCACATCACCACTGAAATAGGAGTTGAGACATAGTTTGTTAGGCATCGTAGGTTTGTTAGGCTATTTTGCTTCCTTTTCGAGCCTTTTTGTGGTAGGATGGCTTATTTCTCTTGTGTTTTTAAGAGCCAGAAATGTGTATCTGTGTCCCACTTACGGGAGTGCATGCATTCCTGAGAACAGGGCTGCGCACGAAAATGGAGTCAAAGTCTTACATCACCCTAACTAACTCTTAACATTTCAAAAATCATTTCAATATATGAATCCCAATGAAGTATATGACACATCCAAATACTAAATGTTCTATCACTTTTATATTTTTTGGTTTATATGCTTTATTCTCAAAAAAAGAGAAAGAATAAAAGAATATCTGTAATGTAGGAAGAGTTCTTTTCCAGATAATTCTGTGTTTGACTTAGGATGTAGATATAACTTTATCTTTTAGATTGACAGTTCTATATTTCTGTTACAGGAGGATCCACGACTGAAATTTCCAGTGCATTTGAGATCAAAAGCATCTTTGAACCCTAATGATTTGGGCCCTCTTCCTGTAAGTGATGATGTGTATGTATTGTAATATATACCTGCTAGCTCCTGTGATCTGGTCCATTATTGTATGGGACACACGTGTTGCTGTCATCACTTTTCTGGAGATATTAAAAAGCTTTATTGTGATCTGTGAATCAGGCTCTTTGAAGCCAACCTCTAGTATTTCTGAAATAATTGCATGTTTCTTTGCTTAGCTGAAGCTTTGAGCTTGGAAGCATGTGGATACAGCTGTTCTTTTGCAATTCTGCAGAGACCTTGAGCATGCACTAATCTTTGAGGGTCACTACACAGGAGTAGCTGAAGGGCCAATTTACAGCTTATTCTGTTAATTGCAAGAGGTAGAACACACAGTGAAATCTGAATAGCCTGATGTATCACTGGAAATACCTGATTAGTAACAGATTTCAAGTCAGTTAATCCATTTTTGAGTGAGGTAAGAATGACTACAGAATTTAACAAGAGTTTCTCAAAAAGAAGATGAAATCATTTCTCATTTCTATTTTTTAGAAGTCTGAAGCTGATGTAGAGCATACAGGTGGAATGAGTGCCAGACTGGACAGCATTGCATAGACTAACAGTGTGGCATTTATTCTCCTTTCTATACTACGCTGATTTGGAGGATGAGAAAAGGGAATGGATAAAAAGGAGAACTGAGGACTAGGTTAGACATTCTTGTGTAATGAGATCTTGGCTTACATATTTACAGTAAATAACCTGCCTGTGTTTTCAGAAGTAGAAGCAGAAGCTCTCAAACCTCCACAGTGGTTTGGGTTGGAAGGGACCTTAAAGATCATGGAGTTCCAAGCGCCCTACCATGGGCAGGGACCAAGTTGCTCGAAGCCTCATCCAGCCTGGCCTTGGTGATCATTTCCTCATAGTAGGAAATGGGTATAAACCCTGATGCAAGAAGTTCACACTTGCAAGCTTTAAAAAAATATTTCCTGTATTGGATACATTTATCCATATAAATAGCCAGTTCTTTGAGTCTTCATAGGTTTTTGGCCTTGACATAATGCATCTGTGATCATTTTGTGTTTTCTACCTCACAAGTATCTATCGGACAGTATTGGACAAGTAGGTATTGCTTCATGCTGTGTTTCACTTGTTTTCTCTCTTTTTTCTTTTTCCCAATTTCAGCCTGGTTGGGAGGAAAGAATACATTTGGATGGAAGAACATTTTATATAGACCACAGTAAGTAAGCACTCAGGTACTACAGCAAGTAGACAAAGGGAGGTAATAAATATTGAAGTGAAAGCTTTATAATTTTACTCTTCATTTAGGAAGCCAGGTGTTGATATGTGGAGACATTGATACCAGAGACTTAGTGCCCTCATACGGTACTGTATATTCACCAAAAGCTTGCTTTTAATTGGTTCATCAAGCTTTGTCCCTCTCTGACTTGTGAAGCATTAACATTTCTTCTTTGTGGTTTCTTTTGTTCTTGTTGATATTTTGGATTCGTCGTCGTTGTTGTTGATGATCCCATGGCTTATTTGCACTTGATAGATTCAAGTATACACTAGGAATAGAAAATAAGATGAGAAGAGATCATATAGCCACAACTCCGCGTATAGGCAGTGGAGAAATTAGCACGGATAAGTACTCTTTCCTCTCCTTTAAGAAGGTCTTGTGGCAGTGCTGATTCTGATCTTATTTCCTATTTAGAGCATGTTAAACTGCACCCAGCCCATTAATATGATTCAGTTCTGTTAGTGAAGTTCTAGTGTAAGTGATGTTTCATTGTAGACTTGTCTTATTACAGCATCTCAGAACTACTGTGTGAGTTTTTGTTGTTGTTTGGAAATAAAGCAGCCCAGAATGGTTGGGTTGGTTTTTTTTTTTTTTTTTTTCCTTTTAAAAATTCATCTGGACTTTTTAGCAAAGTATTTCTACTGATGGTAGAAATCAAATAATTAGAATATTTTTCACAGAAATAGATAACTCACAGAACCATTAGAAGAGGGTACATATGCTATGCAAAACTTAAAGAATTAAAACCTTAAACTGTTAGACATATTTGATAGCATTACGTTACATTTTTCCTTCAGTATCAGTAACACTGCCCCCACTTATCTGTAGTTGTATATATGACATTATTAAATCATTCTTAAAAGACTGTCTCTAAAGTAATATGAGTTTAGAAATTGTATAAATAGTCTTAAATAAAAATTGGAACTCATACTCTCATCGAGCACAGGATTAACCTCTTTCAAACATCAGTATTCTTTATACCTTCTGGAATTGTTTTTCCCAACAGATCTCTGGAAAGTTAAATATGGCAAATCATTCTAAACTGCTGCCTCTGAAGAGTCACAGAATAAAACTGTCTTATTTAAAATATCTGTAAAATTGTTTAGGCTCCCAACCTCCTTTAAAAAATGTTAATTTTTCAGTCTCCTAAATCTACTTAAGCATGTGCTAGTCTCTAAAAGTAAAGTTTTACATTAATTTGAATTCCCCAAAGGATTTATAATTGTTATAAAACTAAATGTATTTGTAACTGAAATCTCCCTCTAGTCCCTCTTTTGGTCTGAGTTCTTTTAGCTTTTTATAGATCAGTTTTTACAACAGTTTCCAGGGTTTGTTTTGTAGTGCTGCTTGTTTACAGCAAATATACCCTTTTGGTCTCCATCTGGTGCCACACCACTGCAATTCCCGGAGGGCTCTGTGAGCAGAGGTGGTGCCAGCGGACACGCCGCAGCTCCGATGGGACAGTGTTGTGCTCAGTACGTAGGGAGTGCCTGCAAAGAGCAGTCAGGGCGCAGTGATTTGGCCGGAGCAGTCTCAGTAGTATCAGTAGAGAAGTGCGAAGACGTTTGATCGTAACGACTGGTTTGTGACAGAGCCTGGCGACTCCCCCTTGTTTGGTGGCTGAGTTCAGAGCACATGCTGAAATCGGGCAGCCAGCTGTGCCACCCTGAATGTGCACCTCTCAGTAGCCCGTTACCATGATAGACTGGCCATCATTGCAGTCGTTCTCTGCTACAGTGATTAGCTAAGACACAGCAAACATAGTCAGCTTCGTTGTTAGAATGCACCAGAAATGTTGGAAGCGTTAACAGATTCAGCTCCTGTTAACGACCTGGTTCTCCAGATACATTTTCTGATCCTTACTGTTGTCCTGTTTTCTGAAGTGTTTTTCTCATCCCTGAGAGAAACTGAAAAAAAGCCTAATGCAACCAGCACAGAAACCTCCTCTCAGGGAGCAGAACAAGCTGCTATTAAGTGTGCCATATAAACCAGTAAAGGAAAGTGCTGTTAAAATAATTCAGGTATTATTTGTAACAGAGTAGCCTGAAAAGATAATATTTTTAGATTTGAACTGTAAACATTATGAATTTCTGCAGCAGTCAATCTTTTAACAAAAAATGCAGTCTCTAGTTCTCCACGATGGGTCCTTAGCTAGCTAAGTCTACGTTATTTACCATCTGTGAATAAAAGCAGTCTCTATTCACCGTACCATTCCCTAGGAGCCTTAGAGGAAAATATGATCTGCCTGCTGGAAGGTATCATGAAGGAAAACATAAAGTTTTTCCAGCCATATGCAGAGCAGCTGTGAGTGGTTCCCTGACAGAGGGATGGATCTGTGAAATGGGTTCCCCTTGAAGTCTGTCTTGGACCCACCCTTTTTCACTCTATTCATTAGTGATTTGGAGAGTGGATGAGGGAGAGCGTGCTCAGCAGTTCAGCAGAACACAGCCGTGTAGGAGAGGTGAGAGGTGACCACTGAACAGCATGAGAACTGCCCCCGTAGGGTGGAGTAAGATGCCGGTAAATAAGAATTGCAAAGTGTTACTCTGAATGGGAATAACTAGCAGAATTTTGGTTGAAAAGGGCATGAAAAATGTAATGAAGCGAACATGAGTTAACTCACGCTGTGATGTATCGACAGGAGCATCTTAAGTAAGACCTGAAGTAGTCCTATGTAGGGCATTAAGGAAGAATCAACCCACTTGCGGTCATTTCCAGTTCTGTTACCTTTGATTTCACAGCAAATTACCAGCGTGATTTCTGGCTGTCAGTTTCAAGTAGGTGTAAGAAATGAATTGGTATAAAAGCAGTGAACTTTGCAGAAGGAAATTTGCCTGACCAGGTTGAAGCGAGATGAAGAGGGCCAGCTGAGGCACCACACCTTTATGGCAGGCTGGGCTCTGGGGACCTTACGTCATTTCTGGAGCTGTCATTCCTCCATAATTTCAATAAGCACAAAACAGATAGATTTGATAGATCAAATTTCTTGACATGTGCTTGTGATCTTTTTGGATTTTCTTCAGTTAACTTTTAATGAATGTCACCTTTCAAATCCCAGTCCATTTTAAAACTACCTTGGAATGCTTAAAACTTACGGGTCTTTTCCAACTCTAGAAACCCAGAACATACTTCTATTTTAATAGACGTGGGTTTGGTTCTTTGCTTTTAGCTATAGTAGCCATAAAAACAATTTTCTTGAAACTTAGTGTGTTTATTCCCAAACCTAGCAATTACAAAACTGAAAATCTGTACTACTACCTTAATATATAGTTCCTAAATCAAAGCAGTGCCCATGACAAACAGGTGTATTCCTGTTACCCTGGCAGTGCAGGAGATGTGTGACTTCAACCTTGCCATTGCAAGTGGCACCTAGTTTGGTTTTCGGAGCATTGTCTTACTGTTGCAACATCATCATTCTGTCGTGATTCTGTTGTGTTCAGAATCTTGTGAGGAGCGGTTGTCTGGAGGCAGGGGGAGTTTCACATGGTCCTGTATAACCGTATCACCCTCTTGGTGCTCTTAAAAGCCGTAGAGGAAAAGAACTGGATTCTGGCATGTGACCGACAAAATCTCCTTTGGTCAAAACTGAATGATCGCTTATAACTGTATCATTTTACCTCCCTTAGTGGTCCTATAACCTTTCCATTAAATCAGTTCTAGGATTTTTTTTTTTTTTAAGAGATGTAATTCCCTCCAAATTTATATACAGACTGTCTTTTAAGTCTGTCATTGGACAAAATTTTGGGGTTCCTTTACCTTTCAGGCATGAAGGCTGTGTATTTCTAATCTGAGTTGAATCCAAGACCATGTTCAAACAGAACATGTTTCCTGCTGCAGACGTTGAAATAAAAGCAGTGTAGCTACACTGGTTTCTGTTGGTTTGCATTTTTGAATGAGTGTTTTTCAACTAAACAGTGTGATGGCGTTTTGACGTAGAGGGGTGAATGCAGCCTTTTCTAACCCTGAAATACTAAGTTGTGGAAATGGTAGGGAAAACAGTTGTAGGGAGAAAAAACCAACATGAATTCACAGTGTGGTAACAGAGAAGTAATAATATAATTTATTTTGTTATTTACAGATAATAAAATTACCCAGTGGGAAGACCCCAGGCTTCAGAACCCGGCAATTACTGGTCCGGTCAGTACTGCTATGGTTTTTTTTCCATTAAATGCTGTGACTCACATACATTTGGTACAGGCAGGAGGCATTATCCAGCAGCAGGTCATGCCTGCTCTCCAGATCAGGCAGGAAGCAGCACCTCTGCCTTGCGTTGCCTTTTCCTGACGGACACGGGAGGCTCAGGTGCCAGCTGCTGGGAGTCCTCAAGGGCAGGGGGAGCTGCCATGGTGTGACAGCCTGCCAAGGTCCCCCGAAACCGATGCCTTGTCCCCAGCATTCGGATGGCTGTGCCACTCGGTGGACCCTAGTTTGTTTCGCACAGGCTGGAGTGCAGCAGGGATGCTTCCAGCCTGCCAGCTGCTAGCGGTCCACAGCAGTAGTGGGCTAACAGGGAATCTCTGGCACATTCGTAGCTACAGTGCTGTGCACACAATTCCCAGGCCAGACAATGGGTTCGAATTTGATGGGGTTTGAGGCTTTCCTAGCAGGAGCTACCCTAGCTAGGGAGTTTTTCCAGTGATACACTGTGATTCCCGTCTTGTAGCTGTTAGCATGTGAAGTTGGCTTCTGCCTTGGAGTGTCTAGGAAACGTTCTTCATCGGTAGATCTGACCGTAAATCGCAGAATTCCTCCGTTTCAGAGGAAAAGAAGGCTCTTCAGAAGGATAGAGACTCTGTTGTTTAACTGGTTTTAATTTTTTGTATTGTGTTATTTCTGAGGGAAGCTCCGTCCATTTGGAAGTTCTTTGTGCTGAATCCTAGATTGTAAGGTTTTAGGGATGTGTATGGAGGAATGTTGCTATTTACCCATTATCTGGGTCATTACTGACAAGAGAATTTTACTGAGCTGAGATGCTGTGCTATTCATTTTGGGATTTCTGGGTAGTAAAAACCTCTTTCCACTCGATGCACGAGAAGTTGTGACTATGTGGATTCAGAGAGGAAAAAAAAGACTAAAGTTGGATGTGTCAGTTTTAAGAGACATAAAACCTACTGCAGATATACTAAGAGATTTCAGAATATCAGCCTTAGAAAAAAATATGTACATGCTTTTACTTGGATATCAAATTTTCAAAACATCGAATATATGGAGTCATTCTTTGACCTTTTTATGCTGGTATATGCTGTTTATGGTATTCTGAGCGATACAGCCATATAAGCAGTAAGGATTCATCTTCATGCTTTTAATAGTATTTTTGATGCCAGGACAAAAACAATGAACTACTTCAATTGCGTTTCAGTTGTGTGTGAACAATGAAAACATGTTGAAAGATGATTTAATGTCTGTACTAAACTCATATTATCATCAGAGTAAAATGATTTAGTTTGTTGCTTTTTAAAAAAAAAATTCCGTCTCATCGTCCACAAGAGAAAACTCATAGAAATGTTTCCACCTCCACTCTTACCTACATCCAGTGAGGAATCAGCTTCATGACCAGCCTGTACCTTCCCTCCCCTAAAATCCCAGTCCTCACCCAGAAACAACTTCAGCCAGAGCTTTGCAATTTGTGATGCAGCCTTCAGGGAACACAGAATGGAACTTTTGCAGCCCTGTGGAATTCAAAATCATTCCTTTGCTCCCAAGAACTCACACTTCATTTGTTTAGAATTCCGTATCATATGGCATGCTCGTTATTTCCTAATGAGACACATGGATGGCAGCAATACATTGTAAATTTTTTTGTCTATGTTAAAAATTGGTTTTGGGCTTTTCTGGTCCTAAAAGAAGAAAAAAAAATCGAAGTAGTGGATAAACAGAAGAACTGGGTGGAACGTTGTCATACCTTTTAACTCAATTACACACTGAGAAACGGGAAAATTTTGGCTGCTGTACTTCATGACGATTAGCTGAACCTATGGCATACATCTGTAGATAGCATGTCTTGAAATTTTTTTTTGTTTAAATAATGTTGGAATATCAAACTCATAAATCCTAATCTGTATTTATTATTCTCTCTCTGATAGGCAGTTCCATATTCCAGGGAGTTCAAGCAGAAATATGACTATTTCCGGAAGAAATTAAAGAAACCAGTGAGTAGAAACGTGCTGCATTGTGTTGGAATCAATCTGCTGCCTGGGAGAAACAAGAGACTGTCCCAGGCACAGATGCAGAATGGTGTTGTATCTTGCTCTAATGCACTTGCCAATTCTTCTTGATTGTGCTCTCTGAAATGGGTTGAGCAGGAACCAAAGAATGAAGAAAAGCTGGAATTTGATCGGTTTCTCAACAGAAAAAATTAAGAGTCATATTTTTCTATATGAATGCAAAATCAAAGTGATGAGGCAGCAAGGAAGTAGCAATGATTCACTGCTGCCTGTTGCAACCGAGACTAGTTGGTATGTTAGTTCACAAGCCTTTAGGCTGAAAACAGGCTTGAGGATTGATAGTACTCTTGCATCTTCAACAGTGGGCTTTGACAGGCAGAGCTGGAAAAAGTTGGCAGAGCAAAGCGCACAGTTGTGCTGGATCTGGCACAAGCTTCCAGTGTTCTTGTTCTGTGAAAAAAAGTATTTTCCATAACATCTGTAACGTAAGAATCACAGTGATTCATTGTGATCTGATCTAGGTGTTCCTGCCCCAGAAGGGGGATTGGACTAGATGATCCTTCCAGGCCCCTTCCAATCTCTAACATTCTGGGATTCTGCAGTATCAATAATTTTCTCGCTTTTTTTTTGTTTTCTTACTTTTCTTGTGGTTTTCATTGTTTTGTCAAATACCATAGAAGTAGCTGAACCACTGTACTGGAACTTACCTAGTTCACCATAAGCTATCAACCTGCAGACTTAGAGAGCACTGGAAAACAAAAATAAGGGGAAACTTTATACATCCCATGTCTAATCTGTCACTTAGTTGTTACCACTGGTCAGTAAATTGCCTGAAGACTTATTTATTGAGACTAACAAGGACAATATAATCTTCTTTCACATAGGCTGATATACCAAACAGATTTGAGATGAAGCTGCACAGAAATAATATTTTTGAGGAATCCTACAGAAGAATCATGTCTGTGAAGAGACCTGACGTACTAAAAGCCAGGCTCTGGATTGAATTTGAGTCGGAAAAAGGACTTGACTATGGAGGTGTGGCCAGAGAATGGTTTTTTCTCTTGTCCAAGGAGATGTTTAACCCCTATTATGGTCTCTTTGAATATTCAGCAACGTAAGTGTCCATTAAATTATTTCCATTCATAAGGGATATACAGTAGATTTTGCATAAGAGGCAAAGTTGCACTGGAAAGTAGTTAGATCATCCTTCATGTGCATCGGTTATTTTAAGAAATAAAAAAAGTCTACTTAAACCCCCCCCCCCCATCTTTCTTCAAAGATTAACAATATATTGCAAATTAAAAATACTGCTTTTACGACAATTTTAAGCCCTGAAATTTGGCTGTACAGAGTGAATAATCAAGCCCAGCAGAAGGCAGAAGAGAAAGTTTAGCTGAAGTTCTCGTTCCACCGAAGCTGACAGCACAATTTGACTGTTTTCGGTGATGCCAGGCCTTTGTCCTTTGAAGAGATTAGCGCAGCCCTCTTGCCCTTGCTGCAGGTGGAACCCTGTTACCCCGCACGAGACCTATTTCCCTTTGTCAAATAATCATCATGGGCGTAGCAAGAGAGTTTCGGTTAGGTCAGCCTGCCCACAAACTGTTGGGTACTTCTGTTGAGGAACACATGGATAAATCCCATGCCAAAATGAACAGGAAATGGTCCTAAGCTCAAATTCTTTATTAACTTATCTGAATATCTGCTTCTTGAAAGACTTGGTTATTTAGATATTTTTTTTCTTTCCCCAAAAAAGGGACAACTATACACTTCAGATTAATCCTAATTCAGGTCTTTGTAATGAAGATCACCTGTCGTATTTCACATTTATTGGTCGGGTTGCTGGTCTGGCGGTATATCATGGGAAGCTGTTGGATGGTGAGTTATTACACCGCACGCCTATGCTACTGGTACTGGATTTTTATTGAATGAAATAAATCGCTTCAGTAAGTCATGCGCTTTGGAGTGTAGTATTTCTGCAGACAAAGGCTGAGAGAAGGTAATGGAACTGGAACTGTTGGAAATTGCATTCCTGATGCGAATGGTGATTCAAAAATTAGTGTCTGACTCTACAGACAGGTTTCAAAGGAAGTTTTACTCCTTTCTCCCCTTGTGTTAAAACCACAGAATCATCATTGCTAAATCATCAGTATCCCTACAGGAAAATCACTGCATTCGTATCAGCCCTTTCCATGCGATCCTGCAGCCAAAGCAGCTCTGTGGGTGTCACCTGCAGCGGGTTTTGATCTGTAAAGTTATTACTGAATGATTGAATGAGAAAATGATTCCTGCCCAGCTGCGTTATCACCCAATAAGCAAGCAAGCAGACATTGTAAACTGACTGTATTCTTTTTAGCAACGGTGTGGCACATTCAAAGAGGAGGCTCACTGTCCAGTTTTTCTAGCATCTCCTTAGGGTGAAGAATGGCAATTTTCAGTGGATTAGGGAACCTTGAGCTCACTTCCCCATCTTTTGTGTCTCTCTGCCATTAATGCGATGGTCTTTAATGGCATGTGGTAATTAATGGCATAATTCTTGTAATTGAAAAATTGCACTTTCCGTGCCTAAATAACAAATGAGCCTGCTGTGTTAACTTGAGTGGTTCAGTGCTGGTAGAGGTTTCTTTCCTGCTGGCGCAGTAGGAAATATCGCGGTGTATGATCCTTGAGGAGTCGTTTCTTTGTGTACGGTGAAAGTGCACAACAGCGGAGGTAACACACTTCCCTCTCTTCTAGGCTTCTTCATCAGGCCTTTTTACAAGATGATGCTGGGGAAACCAATAACTCTGAAAGACATGGAGTCAGTGGTAAGACAACATTTAAACCCTATCAGCGTTGGCAATTATGTGTTTTTTTTCCTCTGGGGAGATTTAGAAGAGCAAACAAACAATTCCAGTAAACTGCACGGTGGAAAACACAAGGGCAGAGTCGCAACAGCTTTGGAAAGATGTGCACGTACTTCTGTAATAAAACACATTTTCCCTGGGAAAGTTGCCCCCAGTGCTGGAAGGAGAAAGGGCTGCCAGGTGATAGACGGTTCTCTCCAAGATATATTTTAAGTTATCAGGATACTTGTTTTGTCATTTAAACCTTTTGAGGTCTGTCCAGTTTTTCCACTGCTGTGGACTTTGGAGAACTTTGGAGCTGTTACTTCTCCCCTTTCTACAATCCTGCTGTTACCCATCACGCAGAAGGGTTTGTCCGGACAGGAGCCTCCCGCGCTCACCCCGCGCTCCGCTCAGACTGCCTCCCACAGCAACGCACCAGCCCTGAGGCAGAATGATACCAGATGGGGGGGCTGAGTCTGAAACCAAGCTCCTGAGGTACACATCCAGAAGGATCCTAAAAGGCAGTTCAGGCTCTTGTATCCCTACAAGTAGTTGGGAAACCTTTTATTCTTAGCTCTGCAACAGCTGTCCTTGGTCTCGTCAGAAGTGCACGCGGTGCAAGAACACAACACGGCTTATTCTTTTGGATGTTTTAGAGTTTCACAGATTTTCGGTTGCTGACACGAACACTGGTTCAACTGCTTCATCTCTCCTCCAGCTCCCACCATCACCAAATTTTGGCAGGTCACTCTTCTCTTGAAGCACACATGAGTAAATAATGTTTTAACTTCATTTTGAAATCAATTATTTTGTCTCTCTTGCTTGGATATATTTATTTAGTGATAGCTTCACGTCCTTCATTTGTTTTCCTTTCTTTTTTTTATTGGGTCAGTCTTTAATTATGAACCTAATAGATGATGAAGATACAACCCTTTTAGGAAACACACTTCAAGGCTTTTAATAATAACAATGCAATCAGTTATTGTATAATATATTATTGATGTGATGAAGTGGTATATAAATGGTTTTGAAATGAATGTCCAGTTTTGTCAAGAAGCCATTTTCTAACCAATTATTTCACACTGCTGTATACATATTTACCTGATAGATATGTGGAGTCCATTTGTTGTCTTGTATAACACTAATGCAATTACAAGTCAATTAAGAAAAGTTACATGAAATGAAAAATACAGCATCTAAGAAAAACATGTAGGAATAAGTAAATGAGTTCTTGTCTTTGGGAGTTCTAGTTTTAGATGGTTTTATTTGTTCTATTTAAACTATACATTTAATGTTCCCATTTTCAAACTTTGTTTTAATTGTAATCTGCTGTAGGATAGCGAATACTACAACTCTTTGAAGTGGATTCTGGAAAACGACCCGACAGAGTTGGATCTCATGTTTTGCATAGATGAGGAAAACTTTGGACAGGTATGTAAAAGGTTGTCCCAAAAATCCGCATTTCCATCTCGGGATTGGTTATTGCCCAAATTAACTGAACACTGAGCAGTGTCTCATGGCTCTGACCTCGGTCAGGACTGCTGAACGCTAACGGTCATTACAGGCAGACTGTGAATATTAACTTCTCTCCCTTCCTGAACTGTCTGAGACTGGGGGTGCTAAAGAAGGGGAGATGTTCTCGTCAGGGCGCAGTGCAATGTCTTTGTGAACAGCAGTACTTGAAGCTGGGTAGAGCACTTGCAGTGGGGAGTAACAGAGGTGTTAATCTGAGGAAATAGTCTTAGCCTGGGACTGTTTGGGGCTTTATAGGTCGAAGATGTTCTCAAAGGACAAAGTAAGTGGCAGAATTATAATCAGTTAAGCGCTTTGCTTGTAGTGTCTTTTATAGAATGTGGGCAGGCGGTAGGACAAAGGAAGCACACTGGTTTTAAAAAGGTGCACGCTCTGGGGATAACGTTCTCCTTTACAAATGAAAAATGTTAGATACGTGTTTAACATCTGAGAAGTGAGTAGGCCCGGATATAATTCATCAGCCAAAGTCGTAGCTCACTGTATCAGTAGAAGCTCTAAGAACAGCTGGTGGTACAGTTTGTCTTGGATTTACCGTCGGTCTTTACAGAGAATCCCTTAAAGTTCAGAGACCTGCATCAGTTTCTGGATGGAAATAACTTGCAGCAGATGTCTTGTACAGAAGTATATGTGTTCAATTTAATTTGAGGACTTGAAGGCAAATAAATCATGAGTTTACAGACATGAGCTTGGAACTTGCCTGCCATGATTGGAGGTTTTTTTATTTATTTAGAAGTATGGAGCTGAACCATTTTGTAATGCATGCACATGTGCAGTGGCTAAAACGTATCAGTTTTGTACAATATTGGGACCTAATAATACCTACCTGTGTCTCCTGAAATTAATTTGCATGTAGGTGTTCATGCCCTTTTTTAGGGTCTTTATTAAACTCATAGACCTGGGTATCTTGGCTGCAGGTACCACTGTGCTGCACATGGTTCATTTCTTAGTTTCCTTTTTTATTAAATCCCTCCCTGTGGTGTTTCTGTACATCATGGGTGCAAAGTAAAGGCATTGAGGATTCCTTTTGTCCTGAACATTTTACCATGCTCTTAAAGTATGCATGGGTTTTTTTCTAGGAGGTTCCTTGACATCACTGTAAGAGTACAGGAGGCAGGTGTTGTCCTCTTTAGAGGAATATCTTGAGGGGGGTGTGGAATAGAGGCATCAAAACCAGCTCTCTTCTTGTTCTTGACATTTCTACTCACCTTCTTGCCCCCAGAGCATTTCTTCAAAATGTGGCAGGTACCTACAGGTTCATGTCTCGGCTGATGTAGAGCCCAGAGGATGGTGCCGCGGCCGCGCAGGTGTTGGGGTTCTGTCCGCAGGGGATGTCGTAGCTCAAGTTGGAGGGACTCGTACTGAGTAACTTGGCCAGAGAAGTTTTCTCGAAGAAAAGCCTGAATAAGCTCAAAGGACAGGACATGGTATAGTGAGGATGAATTTCTCTAGCTAGAGATGGAAATATCTTACCAGTCCAGATGTGGAAAGGATGCTTGCCAGCAATTCAGAAGTTCTGGCAAATATTGACTACGTTTCTTCAGAAATAAATACATTATTTGGACTTGCTGTAGTTTCCTGTGAACTGAAATAAATTTGTTTCTTTCAGTCTTATACTCCATGGTGACACCATCCTTAGCAAATTTCTAGAATCTGTTTTTCTACTTTACTTTTTTGGCCTTTTTACGAAACAGCTTCTCTGTGGATTTTAAGTAATCTCCCCCCTTCCCCTCCCCCCAGCATTTTGAAAAATCAGATGATCCTTGAGGTCTTTTCCAACCTTAATGATTCTGTGATTCTATGATTAGCTATTATGGCATAATAGTTTTCTGATGCTGGTTGTAAAGTGCTGCTCAAGGAGAGTGGATTTTGTGAGAAATGAAATAATGTTTTGTTTTGTTTTGTTTTGTTTTTTTCTGAAAATACAGACATATCAAGTCGACCTGAAGCCGAATGGCTCAGAAATCATGGTAACAAATGAAAACAAACGGGAATATATCGAGTACGTATACATTTATAGAATTTATCCTGAGTGTAAGAAAGCACAGTTGTACTTATCTTGGAATGTGCCCTACGCGGTTCCTGTAGTTTGTACTGCAGCAGATCATCAGAGATACTTTTAAAATAAAATCTGATTGTTAACATAGTTTGTTTCTCCCCTAATCCTTCCAGAGTTTGTTTGAATTTCAACCTTTACTGTTCTGTGAATTGCACTTCGTTTTCAGTCTTCTAATGAGTGTTCTTATGTGTTTTTGTTCATCTGCTGCAGCCTGGTCATCCAGTGGAGGTTTGTAAACAGAGTCCAAAAACAAATGAATGCTTTTCTGGAGGTAAGCTTCTTTAGCAGCTTTTTTTTTTTTCTCCCAGTAATTTTTTTTAATGCAACTTCTTATACATCAGTCTCTGCGTTAAAGCAGCAGGGAACTTTGCAGAACTGCACAAGTTCTGGAATGCTTATGTTCTATTATTTCATAGTTTAACCTTGTGTAAGAATATAGATTTCCCTTATGAGGATACGGTCATTCTCTTGCAAGTTTAAATTATTTGAGCTTGAAATAATTTAGTGATTAACTTTTTAAAAGAGGGACTCGTACTTCAGCAACTGTATATTTACTTTTCAGAACCCTTTTTTGTCCTCTATCCTTTACTTAGGTTCCCTGAAGCCAAAGATCCTGTTGGATAAAACCTTAATTTTACATGGTATGAGAATTTGAAGTTTGCTTTGCTCTCTTTTAGGGATTCACAGAACTTCTTCCTATTGATCTGATAAAAATTTTTGATGAAAACGAACTAGAGGTGAGTTTGTTGAATTGACGTCCAGAGACAACAGACTGATAACACTCAGCACAGAAAAATGTGTTATGTTCTAGGCTCCTCACTCATCGCTTACTCATCGTAAGCGAATTGGCAGACAAAGATATTTTGCTTATAGTGGGAAATGAGATTTTTCTACTTAATTAATAAATCTATTGATCACACAAAAGCACAATAATTGTAATTATTCAGTGAGGTGATTGAGTATGTGCATATGAAAGGATGGAAGCACCTTACTGAATTAATGCCGTTGCGCCTGTACCGGTCGTTTCTTGAGCAAAATACCATAAAAGACGCTGTCGCACAAAGCGTACGTACGTCACAGTGTACAGCGTCTCTCCAGGACAATGAAATATTCTCTGAGAATTCTCCTGAAGAGAAGCTTGAGTCTCCTCTGTGTTTGCATTTATATTTGCACTGCGGAGCTGTTTAAAAGGTCAGGCGACGCAGTGTTGCTGTTTTTCTGATAAAGTCTCCAGAATAACACAATACCATCTTCAATTAACACCGTAACAATTTACTTCTGTGTATAGTTACTGATGTGTGGCCTTGGCGATGTCGATGTCAACGACTGGAGACAACATACAATCTACAAAAATGGTTACTGCCCAAATCACCCTGTTATCCAGTGGTTCTGGAAGGTAAGATTGGTTTTCCACATTTGCCTTCTCTGTTCCTAAAAGTGAAAGTTCCTGGTTTGGTTTGCAGAGTCCATTATGTGTCCCCAGAAAAACTAGTAAAATACTTTTTCCTGTAATAGCCATAGACTTCCCAAAGGGGCATCTGTTTTTCTTTAATAATCTGATCGCGGTGCACCCCACGCTCCAGGCAGGTACAGGGACGGATCCTGCCACAGGGCAAAGCCCCGTCCTGGGGGGGAACAGCACGTGCAGCTCCCCGGCGGGTGGCTGTGGCCCAGCGAGCGCTGGAGAAGGACGCGGCTGTTTAATGGGAGAGCGCCCGGCCCCTGCTGCAGTTACCCGTCTGCTACCGCCTGGTACACACTGATCCTGTACTCAGGGTTTGGTTTTTAACAATTGCACCTACAGCTGTGGCAGTGAAAATACCGTGACTGGCTGTTTGTCCACAGGCTGTTCTACTGATGGATGCCGAAAAACGCATTCGATTGCTGCAGTTTGTTACCGGGACGTCACGCGTGCCTATGAACGGATTTGCTGAACTTTATGGTGAGCTTCCTTTCAGCTGTAGAGTGACCATCTGGGCCACTTCTGAACATGAACGAGAAAACCTGGGCGTGGCTGACGTTTAGTCAGAGCCAGCCTTTGGCCTCCACAGAAACAGTTCTCCTCCTGGATGCCAAAAGCCGTGGAGAATTTGGGGGGCACGCTGAGGAGGAGTAAAGTTGTGGACACCAGGGGTGTTACATAGATGCCCCCCAGCTCCCACAGAATAAATTTTGGCTATCAACAGAGTAATATTTATGTCACATGAGGAAGAGGAGAATGCATGCTCAAAAGTGGACTTGGAAATAACTAACCCCACTCCTCTTTGTGTTAATGTCATTTTAATTAAGAGAGTTTGTTCCAGGTGTTTTCTAACAGTTGAAAAATCTAACCTACAATTGATGCAAACATTTCATGTTAGAAACAGTATTGAGGTAGTCTCTGTACTGGCCAGCAATTTATATTTCCTATGATTTCTAACTAGGTTCAAACGGTCCTCAGCTGTTTACAATAGAGCAATGGGGGAGTCCTGATAAGCTGCCCAGAGCTCACACATGGTAAGTCCCCAAAGCACGGAAGGATGGAGCTCGGCTGTATTGTCACACGGCCAGGACACGGGGACACTGGTGACCTGAGCTCTGGATCATCCAGCTGTTGGGACAGTGGGAGCTGAAACCCCCCCCACATGTCTGTGTGTGTCCCTTGTGTCCGTGTTGGTCAGTGTGAGTACGTGTCGGTGTGTGGCTCTGTCTGTGAGTGCGTGTGTCCCCGTCACCGTGTGTCTGACCACATGCGTGTGAGTGCGTTTGTTACCCCGTGTTGTGCGCGTCCCCGTCCCCAGGCGTGTGACTGCATCTCAGTGTCTGTGTGCGTGTCTCCGTGACTGTCCCCGTGTGTATAACTACCACCCCCCCCTTCACGCTGACCTGCTCCAACTCCGCAGCCAAACACAAGGTGCAAAGTGGTTCTTTTCCTTCTGCCTTTCAGCTTTAATCGCCTCGACTTACCTCTTTATGAATCTTTTGAAGATTTGCGAGAGAAGCTCCTGATGGCAGTTGAGAATGCTCAAGGATTCGAAGGAGTGGATTAAACCGCTGACCTTTCCCCCCTTCACGCAAGTTCCACTTGCACTTTTGCGTTTGCCAGCTGGACTCTGAGTGACGAGGGCAGAACCGTTGCACAGCGTTGGTTCCCGGAGCAAACCCCCCGACAGCGCCATTGCCTGGATCCAGATGTTTGAACTGTGATCGGCGGGTGGCCCTTCTGCCGTCTCCACAGCAGATCACCAACTGCTTCCCAGGAACTCTGATCACATTTCATTACTCTATTTATGTTGTGCCTCTGTAGGCAAAGCCCTTAATAAATATTTTACATGATTTCTAATGACAATGAATGGAATTAATCATTTTACAGGTATAGTATTACAACTCATGTTTACCTTTTAATTGATTTAGACATTTTTCAGATTTTATTTCATTACAATTAAATATCATATCCTTGGAAAAATGAGCATTTTTCTTAATTTCATACCAGCCTTGATGCCAGTGTCATTTTTTCAAAGCACATGTTGAGCCTTGTGTTCCCAAACCATTCAGAAAGGAGAAAGCTATGTTGGAAATTTTCTCTCCCTGGGCTGTACATCAAGAGCAACTCTTCATTGAGCACATCGATATATTTTTCTGTAGCCAGAAGTATGGATGTTGCATTTTTTGTATAAATATTAGAATAGTTACAAGTCAAAGGAGAATCACAACATAGCATGCCAAATCTCACGTTCGATACAGAAATTGCCTCGCTACTGGTAATATTTACATGTACTATAAAGCATTTTGGGGTAGGGTTGGCATTAAGCATTAACCCTGTCGTTATCTTTGTATAGTGATTCTTTCCTTATCCTTTCCTCTTTCCTGTTTGCAACGGAGGCATTGGCACTGTGTGATTTGGCACCACAGCAAACAGCCCTGGTTCCTCTCCTCTTTGTACGCATTTGCTAATGATCTCTGAACAACAACAGGGTTTTTGTTTGTTTCTAACTGCACCGACTCTAAAGGCACTTTATGTAACACATGGAAGTCATATCTGGTTTTTATCACAGACATTAATGTGATTATATTCCTTCTCACTGCACATGTCTTTCTGGTGCAATATCTTATCAATTGTGAATTTGGCTGCTGCTGATGTATAAAAAGAAAAAACAAACAGCTGTAGAGCTGAGCCTGCAGACGTTCCTCAGCAATTGTTTTTGTGATTTATTTTTTACTTAATCACAAGATTTATTTAATAGACACTGCTATCTAATCAATTTTGTTACCTATGACATGTTGCATGCTTAAACTCTAATGTCCAAGTTGCATCTCTTTCGTGCCAGATTAAAAGTGAAAGATTTGTACTGGATCCACTGGAGTCACATGGTTACAATACTACCAGAGCAGGTTTGAGGGTACGGCTGCAGCAGTTTAACCTGCAGGTGTGAGTTCTGCCTGTCTACAGGCCTTTTCCCCAGTGACCCATTTAACGCTTGTGAAGCAAGATGACGCCTCACGCCAGAACAGAATTTCACCTCATTGCCAACAGCTTTTTTAGACCTGCCCTTACCCCCCTGGTCCGAGACGGCCCAGCCGTCCTGCAGGAGCTCTGACACAGCAACACCCAGGCGGCTGCAGAGAGGCCCGAACGCTCACGGCACCCAGCAAGTGGCTGTGTGCCAGCAGAGCGTGATGAGCTAACAGATGCACGAGGAAGGTTGTGCTGTTCTTTGAGCACAGGTTACGATTCATTTTCTATTAAATGTTTCCTGACATTCCTTTCTGACCTCTTACATTTGATGAGTGAGCTGGAACACGAGAAAGTGGCCAGAGAAACACGACCCTGCCCGGTGAGCTGAGGGAGAAGTGCGGGGAGCGGAGGGAAGGCAGTAAACCCGGGTACTTCCACTGACCTCTGGTGCGTCGTGTCAGGAGCAGCTGGTTATGGCCTGGACTCCCTGGAGGGAAGTGGTGTGCTCCAAGGTTTCTTTTCTTTCTGTCTTCACCTGAAGGATTTTTGGTGTGGTTGGAGGTTCTGTTCACGTCCAGTGCCGTAGATCAGAACCTTGAGAGCTCCCGAGACCGTTTGGCTGTGAAACTGAAAAGTAATCTCATGTGTCAGTGAAGGCTGTGACCGAGCAGGAGTGCAGCTGAGGTACAACCAGAACTCAGACTGTTTGAGAACCTGCCATTCCTCTTGTTGGGATCTTGCTCTGGTCCCTTCCTTTCCCTCACCTGCAACTTTAGAACAGGTTTACTAATGCTCACCTACAGCAAAGCCCTTCCAGCTGTCTGAAATTACACAGTGAGAGCTGACTAGAAGGACAATTTCTGCTGTTTGGATTTTTTTTTTTTTCAAAAAGAAGATTTCAAATTACTTAGCTTAACATCTTTTCAGACCCACTTACCTCACAAACCTACAGCTACTCCAAAAGCATTCACTAGGTATAACATACTGAGGTGAATTCCAGTGTAGGAATTGTAATTTATGTGCACTTGGACTGTTGTGGTTTACTTTAGAGAAGGGGTTTTCATTTTTAGGAAGCAGACTCTCTCCAGGGCTGCCATTAGAGTGGCAGCTTTGCACGCAGAGAGCTGACCGAGCTCGGGCAGCGGTGACAGCGAGGCCCAGTGCCCTGATAGACTTGTGCATCTCCTTATGAAATTTGTGCCATTTTGGCTTTCTTGCAATTAATACCAACAGCTAAATAAATAGGATTTGTGGTTCTTGTGCCCGCAGCACTCGCCTGCGCTGTAAACCCGCCGTGGCTGCAGCGCCCAGGCAGTCCCACACCCAGCAACGCCGCAGCAGCAGTCGCTTTGCTGTACACAGCTTTTCCTGGGGGTAGCAGCAGCCTTCCCGTTCGCTGGAGTGAGGGGGGTGTCCCTGACAGCTTGGCATCACAGCAGGTACAGGAGCACAAGCCCCTGCTAACACACAACTCAGACGTTACTACTGGTGGCTGTGTTGATGGCTAAACCCCGGGGCAGATTCGCCAGAAAGTTCAGATCTTCTGTGCTGTGAGGAAACCCAGGACATTACCTTCACTTCTGCAATGAACTCTCTGAGCAGCTGCAGAGGAAACCTATCTTCCCCTGCAGAGCTCTCTAACAAAAACCCGTAGCGCTGTAAATGAGAGCCCAGGCTGTATTCCAGCCATCCTCCTCAGAGTCCTCCCGGAGCTCCATTTGAAGGAATCTTTCTAGGAAAACAAGGTAGCTAGGTGTTACTTACTCAAAACATCTGGAATAGAAGCAGCGGACACTCCCGTGGGACTTGGACCATGCTGTTGTGCCTTTCTTAGCACAGGACACTGTTGTACCCTGGCCGTTTCACCCAAAATGGCCCAACAGCATTTTAAAAGGTTCTGTTCATCTACTGCTTTTAGTTAATAAATGGGAAACGCAAAGGTGGCACCTAAACCATTGCTTGTTTGCTCCTAAGAAGCCTTAAGGCCAGTAATCCATGCAAATTTCAGTCAGAATACAGCACACAGGGTCTGCAGCGCTCACCTCCTGCTCCCTCAGAGGGTTACTGATCTGCAGAAGGCTTTAGCTGCTGTCCAGCACATTAACTCCCCCGGGCATGCCCAGCTGCTGGAAACTGCTGCTTTGTCATCTGTCAGTCCCAAAGTAACAACAAAGACCATGCTCCTCTGTTACTAAAAGATTTATCTTACGTCTGTCTCTCATGCTGACTTCTCCCCCTGTGAATTCTGAGTGAAAAGAACGCCAGTGCCACCCTCGCGTGCTGATGAACGAGCAGAGGATGCTGCAACTACTGACCCCGCAGCCAGCGCCTGTCCTGCACCCCAAGGGACGCACCACAGTTGTATAGTAGGGAAAAAAAAAAAGGTAGATTACCAGACTGGACATCTTCAAGTATACATTAATCTTGTATTTTTAATAAAAACTTTCCCTTTTGTCTGTAAAATTACAACAAAAAAATACAGCCTACACCCACCTGTTCTGATGTTACACTGAGAAGTAATGCAAATTGAAATGCACAAGAAACCTAAAAAGACTGGAATCTAACCCTATTAATGTCCCGTGCCCATGGGGTCTGTCACAGTGCACCCAGAGCCGCATCAGACACCACCACTATCAGTGCAAACCAGGTTCGGCACATGTCCAGCGATGCCGGCTGCTAACGACCTCTGGGTCCACATCCACCCTCCGCCTACACGTTGGGCTTTTTTCCTTTTCTCAGTATTTTCACATAGACACTGTACTTTTTCCTTAATTTTTCAATGCATAACTGTAGAAATACACACCGTAGGCATCCACATACGATCATACGTGTGTTGCATTTTTATACTTTAGTCTGTGCTGTTGCAGAGGCTCAGGAGCTGCCTGTCTCCACTGCAGACGTGTCACAACCGCGCAGCAGCGAGTAGGTTATGACTCTCAACACCCAGACGGAAAAACTCCAGAAAACCATGTTGCTATGTCCTGTATTTGTGAACATACATTTTAAATCCAATTTAAAACAGATCATTAATACTTCCAAACATGCAAAAGTGTCAAACATTCCAGATTACATTCACAGTTTAATTTTTTTTTTGTAAAATCACCTCATACTAGAAAGCTATTCAAAATTACACTAACCTACCTTAAAATTTATTTTGAAAGTACTACTTATAAAGAATGCTCATTTTCACAATGAATACAGCTTTAAACTGTGTTTGAATTTGATACACTGTGGGGAAAGGATTTGTTTATGGACAAAAGTAGTTTTTTCTGTTTATTTTCTGAGGAGCAGTGAAAGAAATTGTTTGTTTTCCTGACAGCAAAAGCTCAATGTGACAAAATGAAGTTGTTGTAATGAAATGATGCAACTTAATTAAATATTTAATAAAGAATTATGGAAGATACAGCATTTTATACTTCAAATATATTTTTTTCCTAACTGAAGCTTTGTTTCGTTTTGTTAAAAAAAAAAAAAAAAATTGCCTGAAGGTCAGAAGTAGTGGGAAGGTTTCCACAGCCTGGGCTATGGCTGGGGAGCCCACAGGCACTCACATCTGTACCAGATTTATTTTTCAGTGACTAAACACACCATCCACATATTTCAGCTTCTGTAAAAGGGGTTCCCAGGTTTTTCCCCATGATCCTCAGTGTGTTCATGAAGCACTCGCAGGTATGATATGCTCAGCTGAAGAAGGTATCCCTAAGAAAAGCTGGCA